CGTAAATACACTGACACACAACATTCTAAGCTATAAGAAATTTGTATCATCACTCGATAAAACACGGACGCACTCGAAAAAGCCCGGACTGCTCTCGAAAAAACCCAAACACATAGAAATGAATTTAGTCTCAAAATATCGTTTTTCAATGCAACAACAAGAATTTTTGTAAAGTGTCTGTATATCTAAGGATATATGGATTCCATGTATGCATTTCCATCGAAGTTTGCATTGGTATGTGTATAAAAATGGCTTTATTCTGTTTTTTTGGAATAAAAGCATTGTAAGGCTAAATTCAACTTTTTGAACGAAAAATAATGTCGGATTGATAATATCTTTTTATCTCAAATACTAACACACCTTGTATATCCTTGTATATTAAACTCAAGCTTCTATATCACGTCTTTTCAGAAAGTAATTCTGTTTGTTTACATTTTTGATCATATTCACTCGAAAAAAGTGGTCACACTCGAAAAAACCCGATCAAATCACTCGAAAAACCACGATCCTAGCCAGACACTATACCTACCGTGATAATATAGCCGTGTGTTAAGTGTGTGCATTTAAAGTCCTTAAACTAAGAGTCTTTTAGAAAAATGTCACTCTCTTTTTATAGTCAAAGGATTGGAAGAACATAAACAAGTCGATTGTTAATCGATATTTATTTAAAAGATAGGTAAAATGAAATGAAAACAAACGTATTTTGGGATTGTATAACGACATTCAGACGGAATATTCATAATTTTGGAAGTGTTGCACAATCCGACCATGGAAGTAAAATGAAATATATAATACTTGAAGAAGTTCCACGATACGACTTATATAGTAGGGTGATGTCGGGCGAGCAGGGAAAACTATGCATCTATTCAAAGTGATCAACTCATCCTTCAAGTTTTCAACTCAGATCTATGAAACTTCACTAAAAGATTGCATGCACAACAAAGCTGTGCGCCTGCTATTTTGGAAAAGATGCACGTTTGGGCTAATTGATGTAATACTTTGCCTAAAAATATGTTACGTTTGGGCCAATGGCAAGTCGACAATTGGGCTAAATTTTAAAGTCGACATTTGGGTTTATCCTCCCATTTAAAGATACATTACATGTCTATATTTTAATCATATTCGATATGTAATTAATGATATTTTATTTATAACATGTTCTTGTCTGTGGTGTATTTTCCTTGCTTACAAGGGGTTTTTGTCTCGCCTGCAATTTTTATGCACATGTCCTAAGTCAGGAGCCTGGTAAAGTCCGTATCTCAGATACTGTGAGCAATAGGTCAACTATATTTGGTGTATGGAATGATTGTTAGGGGTACATGTCCCACTGACAGATTTCATCTGACCTTGATCTCAATTTCATGGTTCATTGAACAATGTTTAGTTTTTGTGGTTTGGTCATTTCTCAGATACTATACGCAATAGGTCAACTATATTTGGTGTATGGAATGATTGTAAGGGGTACATGTCCCACAGACAGAATTCATCTGATCTTGACCTCAATTTCATGGTTCATTGAACAATGTTAAGTTTTTGTGGTTTGGTCTATTTCTCAGATACTATAAGCAATAGGTCAACTATATTTGATGTATGGAATGATGGTAAGGGGTATGACTGTCTGCCAGGTATATGACCTTGACCTCATTTTCATGGTTCATTGGACCATTTTTAGTTTTTATGGTTTGGTCTATTTCGCAGATATTACATGTATAAGCCATAGGTCAATTATATTTAGTGTATGGAATAATTGTGAGGTGTACATGTCTGTCTGGCAGGGTTTATATAACCTTGACCTCATTTTTATGATTCATTGGTCAATTATAAATTTTGTGATTTTGTCAGTTTATCAGATACTATTATCAATAAGTCAACTTTATTTGGTGTTTGGAGTGATTGTAAGGTGTACATGTCTGTCTGGCAGCGTTCATATGACCTTGACCTCATTTCCATTGGTCAATTTTAAGGTTATGTGATACTTGTAGTAAAACCTTCATATTACAGACTTTCAACATAAATTCAATGATAAGTAAAACAGGCGAGACATTTCAGCACTCTTGTGAAAAATTGACTGTTTGTGTGATTTTAAGTAAGACAAGTCTTAATAGCACTAAATATTGTTTTAACTATGTATATCGTGAAGGTACAAAACGGCAATGTTAATATAAAAAGGAAGATGTGGTATGATTACCAATGAGTCAACTCTCCACAAGAGACCAAATGACACAGAAATTAACAACTGTAGGTCACCATACGGCCTTCAACAATGAGCGGAGCCCATACCGCATAGTCAGCTATAAAAGGCCCCGAAGTGACAATGTAAAACAATTCAAACGAGAAAACTAACGGCCTAATTTATGTACAAAAAATGAACGAAAAACAAATATGTAACACATAAACAAACGACAACCACTGAATTACAGGCTCCTGACTTGGGACAGGCACATACATACAGAATGTGGCGGGGTTAAACATGTTAGCGGGATCCCAACCCTCCCCCTAACCCGGGACAGTGGTGTAACAGTACAACATAAGAACGAACTATAAAAATCAGTTGAAAGAGGCTTAACTCATCAGATGGATAAACATACAAATACTACATATACAAGTGGACGTGGCCGGGTACTTGTACATCCAAACAACAAAAAGACACTAAGTACAGATCTGAGAGTACTCGCAGTTACTGACAGCAAGTTCAAAGCCACTAACAACTAATAAAAAAAATCATGCATCTAAGACTAAATTAACGTGGCCGGGTATTTGTACATCCAAACAACAAAAAGACACTAAGTACATATCTGAGAGTACTCGCAGTTACTGACAGCTAGTTCAAAGCCACTAACAACTAATAAAAAAATCATGCATCTAAGACTAAATTAACGTGGCCGGGTACTTGTACATCCAAACAACAAAAAGACATTAAGTACAGATCTGAGAGTACTCGCAGTTACTGACAGCTAGTGGAAGAATTTAAGGTTTTAAGTAATTTGTGGTAACGAAATCCCTGGCTTAATAATTTACCAGTAATGCATAGATTACGTTCGTTAAAATCAAAAACGTCACAACAGACACGGGCATAGCGAACGAGTTGTGAAATATAAACACCGTAAGATGGTGCCAAAGGAACATCACCATCCAAAAAGGGGAAATTAACAATAGGGAACGAAAAATCGTCCCTTTTGTCGTAAATTTTAGTGTGGAGTTTCCTGTGTAAAACCGAAATATCTAAATCTAGGAAAGGACAGTTGTTACCGTTTAAATTTGATTTATTTAAAGTAAGTTCCTTTGGGTAAATTTTGGCAGTATATTGAGAAAATTCTTGATTATTTAACGAAAAAATATCATCAAGATAACGGTAAGTGTTGATGAATTTATCAATGAAATGCAATTTAGACGGGTCTTTACTGAGTTTGGTCATAAACTGTGATTCATAACAGTACAAAAACAAGTCTGCTATTAAAGGGGCGCAATTAGTGCCCATAGGAATACCTACAACCTGTCGATAAACTTTGCTGCCGAAAGTTGTTAAAAAGAACATCATTAGATTTTTCTCAAAGATATTGGTTGTGGTCCTAAATTGGAATCTAATAGCCTTTAAAAACTGTAAACTTGAGATACTGTGGTACTGGCTGATCTTCACTGTAAACTCATTTCAATCAAATGTTATAAGTTGTTTTCTTTCCAAACTGGTATGGTTTTCCAATGACCGGACTTTTATGTAGGTTGTATTTTTGATTATTTTTAACTTAATATCATATATAATTTATATCAAATATTAATATTGATAAATTGTACCTGTAATTTACCTGAACAAGTAAAAAAATAATTAGCCCAATTCTAAACTTGACACCAAAGATTTTAGCCCAAATGATACCATAGTCACGCTTATTATTTAGCTAAAATGTCTTACGCCTTTGGAAATGTTTGAGTATTTTCCTCCTTTATTCCTGACTTCTACGTCATTTGGTCTCTGGTGGAGAGTTGTCTCATTGGCAGTCATACCACATCTTATTTTCATATTGGTAACTTCAGCAAAATTTACAAAACAGGATACCAATTTTGTGTAATTATCTCTTCCTACTAACCTAGATCTTTGAATTTTCGTGGACAGATTGCACACATATTGAAGGCACCTGCCTTTCCCGAATAGTATGCTGAATTGTTTGCACTTTTTCGAGACCAATTATAGAGTTGTTTAAAGTTGTTCCCATTTTATATTTCCATATTCATTATAGACTATTTGTCATTGATTAAGAACCATACTGTGCAACTCGACCATTCGTGGCTTTAAATAAATAAATAAATAAATAAATAAATAAATATAAATAAATAATCTTTATATCAAGATGATAATCCCATTAGTTAAAACTAATCTTCCTGAGAGTCCACAAAATAATAATAATAACATATTTATAAAGTGCATACAATATTATAATGATATATACACAATTTACAATTTTATATAGATATTAATGAAAAAGCATATTAATTTGCACAATTTGTGAAAAATTTGTAACATTTTGGTTTAAAAGATACAAGTGTATTACTCATCTTTATTTCATTTGGTAAACTGTTCCATATTTGAGAACCAGAATATATAAATGTTTTCTTCAAAAAATTTGTTTTTGGCTTTGATTCATTCTTATAAAATTTTAACTTCCCACATATTTATGACCAGTTACCGATATATGATACTATTTGAAGGCATCAATATTTATAAAGAATAAAGGTTAAATGATTATAATCAATATTGCAAGATGATGATTTGCGAGAATTCTGTAACAAAAGACATAAGTGCTTTAATACAGTCAACATAGGGATAAAATACAATGTAAACTATTTCTTGAAATACAAAAGCAACTGAAAAAAAACACACAAGGATATACAAAGATGAAAAATTTGATTTTACAGTTGGTTTTGTTTCCTTCAACATTGATAACAGCCGGGAAAATAAAACAATAACCCGAATAACAACACTGCTGACATTTTGATGTGCCATGTCACACATACGATACAAAAAGAAATTAATTGCTTTCTCAAAGCTTGAAGCCGAATGTCAAATACAGAGGAAAATTTGCACAAACTGCATTATTTGTTTCTATCGATCCAATATTGATGTTGTATACGATACTGAGTCAGCCGACTTACAGCAGACGACGGCTACAGCGCGTGTTGGAAAAAGATGGACGTTTACATGGTATAACATCAGAAGGAGTTTCATCAAGCTGGACAATAAAAGGTAACGAATTCATTTACATTCTAAAAATTAAATGCCTTGGATAGATTTTGGGTTATTCTATGGTCAAATATGATTTTACACACAATGTTTATACCGCATCTCGTATAATTATATTTAATTTGTTATGTGTGCCAATCACTGCGGGTGTATAGTATGAGGACAATAAGCTTAAAATGTGATGGTAATCATGGTTATTAGGATGTGATTTTGTTTAAGTGAAAATTTATAACTGCCAGTACTATTCTAAAAAAACCTGCCTTTTGCGGTTAATAAATTCACAACTTTATATCATCACAAATTAATATTCTGCTTGATTTTCTTCAACATTCATTTAATTATCTATGATGAGATAATTTAAAGTGAAATTGAATATTAATTCATGGAACATTAAATTATGTGAAACATATGGTAGACTATGAGGCTTTTTATCTATGTGGAAAAGTCGTGTACAATTATATATATATATATACATATATATATATTATATTTGATAAAAACATTGACACTGATAAGGCCACGGTATTTTTTAAGCCGAAGTATTTGTCAACACGATGTAATAACATCCTCTTCTTATATTACCATCTTATATTAGTATCGTTGCGCAAATCTTAAGACTTTCACAAACAAACAATTTGTTTTACTGTCGAGTTAATTAAGTAAGTGATATACATTGTTTTCCGACGACATACTTGTCTTTTAAAATTTTTGCAGATATGCGATGAATTAAAGCGTAATACATCAGATACTGGACTGTTCAACCCATTTAGAAACAAAACAACATATCGACCATTTCTATTACAAACACAGTAAATCGCAACAGATACACATTTTGTCAACTACTATGTCTTCCGTGATATTTAAGGGCTTAAGTTTGGACCTGCAATATACGATAGAGATGTGGTATGATTGTCAATGAAACAACTTTCCACAAGACCAAATGACGTAGATGTAAGCAACTATAGGTCACCGTACGGCCTTATACATGTCTATAGGTCACCGTACGGTCTTATACATGTCATACAACAACTAGGTCACCGTACGGCCTTATACATGTCATACAACAACTAGGTCACCGTACGGTCTTATACATGTCATACAACAACTAGGTCACCGTACGGCCTTATACATGTCTATAGGTCACCGTACGGCCTTATACATGTCATACAACAACTAGGTCACCGTACGGTCTTATACATGTCATACAACAACTAGGTCACCGTACGGCCTTATACATGTCTATAGGTCACCGTACGGTCTTATACATGTCATACAACAACTAGGTCACCGTACGGCCTTATACATGTCATACAACAACTAGGTCACCGTACGGTCTTATACATGTCATACAACAACTAGGTCACCGTACGGCCTTATACATGTCATACAACAACTAGGTCACCGTACGGCCTTATACATGTCATACAACAACTAGGTCACCGTACGGCCTTATACATGTCTATAGGTCACCGTACGGTCTTATACATGTCATACAACAACTAGGTCACCGTACGGCCTTATACATGTCTATAGGTCACCGTACGGCCATATACATGTCATACAACAACAAAAAACACCTTATATGAATATCCAAAGCAAAATTTTTATAAGGTGTTACATTAATGCTCAAATAAGGCTCATACTAGGTTGGAAAACGAAGGAGTTGGTAATCACAAAATCAAATAGGTATTTTACTATGATAATAATGTTGATGAAATAACATTCAACTCTTACTTAACTTGCTGCAACTTGTTAATTAAAATGTAAAAGTTGATGATGATATTCATCATACATTGAGGCATGCAATCATATACATGTAGTGTTAAATCCTCTATCTCTAGTCGGCAAAACATAAACACAAAATCACATATTTAGAAATGAATACTATATCTTTATCTGCAAGAATGATATTCCCAAAACTAACTAAGAATAAAAGAAATTACCCCTATAATGTGATTAGTTAATTTTACCCCCCAACCCCCATCACCATCAATACACATTGGAGACATTTTTGTAATGTATGCAAGACTATGATTATTATTGATATTTATAAACATAAAAAAATCCAAATTGAAAAATATAGAGTCTAGTAAAGTATTTCCCTACCCCGAGAAGTATCATATTTGATAAAGAAAAGCACATTTATTCCCCCGAGGGAATGAAGGCATATATAAAATAAAATGATACAATCAGTAAAAAAAAATAGATACACAAAGTATTTAAAGAGCAGACAACACGCTTGGACAATACAATTGCATGGTAAAGCCGGGTATATTAGCTGGTGATGTGGGCTTTATCATTAAAACGTATATGTTTCAGTAATCTCCACCACTTTTCCCGAAAATGGCAATTTGATTAGAAATGTATATGCAGTCATTTAATGTTGGATAGAAATTTACTTTTAATGAGTGGAAAAAAGATAAAACATGTTTCGAGGAATACATCTTGATTTTTTTTCAACAAACAAACAAGTCTCATTCATTTGACGAACACTTTTGAATTATTGTTCGATTTTTTTCTCTAAGCGTAAATCCGAACGCATTCAACTGTCATTTCCACACTGATTAAATACGATGTGTTTGTAGTCAATTAGTTTTCACATTCTTCAGCAATCAATGATAATTTGTCTTTTAAGCTTCGAACAGTTCTGTGCATTTCTGCGATAAACTTTAGAATCGTAAATTCAATGTAAGGTAATTTTCTGGAATTCTGAAAAGAAAAGTAACCTTAAAAAGTATTAGTTTAAAAAAAAAAACATAATTTGTGTGAGTTGTAAATTGCAGATATGAACAGAACTTTTCATTTTAATAGCCAGAAGGCCTATACACTAAATAAAAGTGTTAGGAATCTGAACACTTTTTGAACGCCCTTTTGTAACACTTCTGGAACGCGTAACAGTGTTCTAAATATTAACATTGTTGTTCCACTTTTTAACATCATGTGTAAATCTTTCGAACACTATGTGTGTAATTCTTGAATGAATAGTGTGTTCTCCTTGAACGCCTAGTGTTTGATTCTGGAACATGTCTTTGTGAGCAAAATTGTACGCCGTTACGCGTTCCAAGCCTTGTAACACTTCTGGAACGCTCGAACTGTGTTCCAGAAATATGTTTTAATATCCAGAACACATAGTGTATACTACTGGAACACATTTTTACATGTTCCAGAAAAAGTGTTCCATTCTCTGAAACATTCTTTTGGTCTTGTAAAAATAATAATTTAATTGATTAAAAAACATCTTTAATTGATTAAAAGAGGCAAAATTATAAAAAAAAAGACAATACAATGTGAAACATTAAAGCAACTTTAAAATTACAAGTTAGACAAGTTAGAAATATAACATTTGACAACGAAATTACAGTATAATTTGATTGGCAAAATGTGTCCAAATATTTAATCAGGCAAAAGTTTCGTCACATTAAAAATTATTATATTACAAAAAAGTCTACTGGCTTATGAACACAGTTTTACTCATCGTTTGCAACTTCTTAAGTGAAGCACTGTCCTGAATTTCTTTACAAAAAACTAATTTCAATGGCTCGTTAATCACCAATATTTTCCATAATCCACAGCCTGCATAGCACTTCAGATAGTCAATATCAAACATAAAATATCCTGTGTATATGCTGCTAGTAGTCGGAGTCAGTGCTCATGTAACACTGCTACCTCGGGTATTTTAAACACGATTTGAGTCGTCTACAATTGTTTTTGAGCTTCCTTTTTTAAGAGGATTCGTCTCCTTTGGTTATAACTACTCCTTAACCTTGTTATCCATCAACCCTAAGTTCTGAAATGTCAAATATAAAGTGTATGAGTAAACAAATTATTGATCATGTCGATATTGCTTGAGAATTAAAAATTCTTATTTCGTTTTTGCAATTCCATTATATTTGTCAGCATTATTAGAGTTTCTTTTAATCAGTGCAATATTTAATAAGATGCATTTTTACTATTTGATTTGTTAAAGAGTGGTATACATGTATTTTCAAGTATAGGGGCTCTCGTGTTCTATAGCTTTTTGAAAAAAAGATGATAGGAAGTGTACAGCAAATGGTCATAGGTGTTTTAGGCAAAATTTTGTTCGTGTAGAATTTCACCATTGATCTGTATACGGGTAATTCCACCATTTGATTATCAAAATACTTCCCTGGATTCAAATTGAAGTAATTATATAGGTTCTGCTAAAATAGTTTTCTGATTGTGCACATTTTATTGATAAATCTGCATTTACAAAACTCCAAAAATTGTAAGAAGTCAATGGGCACTCCTAAATTTCTTAAACTTACATAAAGTTACTTTTATGGTGCAGGATAAGTATTCATCTCTAAGGTTACTGGAACTGCGAAATGTTCTCTGCATTCTCGAGGTATGCACGTACAATTAACCCTAAGTAGTTGTGTTTGTACCCTATAAAAGTAACAAAGGAATACATTACAATACATGTATGAAGTGCACAATGGTGGCCATTTTCTGAAATGAATTTCTAAGAATTAAGTATTTAAGAATGAGAAAGCTATTAATACCATATACATTAGAAAATTAAAATTAGTGTGTTGCAGTATGCCTTTTTACAAATCTCTGTCTTGACATTGACAGTACTTGTAAATGTGAACAAACCCTTATGCATTGTTTTTATCTTAACAAATGTACATCCTCAAAAGTGTGGATAATCGCGTAATCTACTTGTTGCTTTCTATACACAATGTTTGGAACACATGGCGTTCAGGGAAAACTATAAGTTAGAACGCATCATGTTCGAGACCAGAACGCTTTTACAATAGCAACGTTATCATTAGCATTTACGTATAAATTTACATTGGTTAAAAATAAGAAAATATGATCATTTTCATGTATTCTCACAAAGAACCTCCTACTTTTTGAATCGAATTATGGCATAACAGCACAGTTATGTATTCAAACAAAATGTTCTACTTCCATTTGTACTTCAGTGTGTCCTGACAAAGAAGGAATTTGTTGATTAAATACCAAAAAAATTATTGTTA